ATAGGAGTAAAAGCAGGAAGATCAGTTAAAACACTCTTTAGGCTAGAGATAATGGTGATTTGAGACAGAGTGGTAGCAGTGGATGTAGTGAGAAGTGTTGAAATTCTAGATATATTTTTGAATATATAACTGACAGGAATTCTTGACCCCTTGGCATGAAAGAAAGAGAAGGTTAAAAAATGACATCAAACTTTTTGGCCTAATCAACTAGAAGGATAGAGTTGCCTTCAGCAAAGATTGGGAAGATAGTGAGAGGGGTGGTTGGCAGGTAGGGACTATTAAGAGCTCTGTTTTGGACCTAGGAAGTTTGAGATGTCTAATTAGATTTCCATGTGAAAATGTCAAGTCGGCAGTTGAATTTTGCTTTTGAAGTTTAGGGGAAAGGTCCTCCCTAAGAATATTATTTGATAGTCATCTTGTATAGATTGTACTTAAAGATGAGACTTTTAAAAATGATTATGTAGTGGTGCCTGGGTGGCTCAGTGGGTTAAAGCCTCTGCCTTCAACTTAGGTCATGATCCCAAGGTTCCTGGGATCGAGCCCCGCATCGGGCTCCCTGCTCAGCAGGGAGCCTGGAGCAGGGAGCCCGCTTCCTCCTGTCTCTCTCTCTGCCTACTTGTGATCTCTGTCTGTCAAATAAATAAATAAAATCTTTGAAAAAAATGATTATGTAGATTATGGGAACCATTTCATATATCTGATAATATGACCCTAAAGATTTGTTATTTCAGGCTTTGTAACACTATCAGAAAAATGGAATGTATATGAGAGAAATGTCAGAATGCACATAAAAATATTCTGTAAGTGAAATAAAACTGTATGTAGATAAAGATATACCAAGAGGTGCAGTACCAGGGGAAAGTGATCTAATAGTTCCCAGGTTCTTAAATCCAGGTATTTCAGTCTTTATTTTATTTTGAGGAATCTAAACGTCCATGAGGTTAGGAAGCTGAGAAGCAGACCTGGAATTGGAACCCAGGTATGTCTAATCCTAAAGCTCATGTTCTTCTTACTCTGCACCACAGAAGTCAAGAGGATGTGTGCTGTTCATTTCCAACCTGTATCTATGAAATGTAGGGAAGTATAAGATTGAGCATTGGACTGGGCTTACAAGGCCTGAGTTTGTATCTCAGATTTGCCATTTCTAACTGAATGATTTGGGCAAGTCTTTTAATTTCTCTAGATACCAGTTTTCTTTCTTTCTTTCTTTCTTTCTTTCTTTCTTTCTTTCTTTCTTTCTTTCTTTCTTTCTTTCTAAAGATTTTATTTATTTATTTGACAGACAGAGATCACAAATAGGCAGAAAAGCAGGCAGAGAGAGAGGGAAGCAGGCTCCTTGCTGAGCAGAGAGCCCGATGCAGGGCTCAATCCCAGGACCCTGAGATCATGACCTGAGCCAAAGGCAGAGGCTTAACCCACTGAGCCACCCAGGTGCCCCTCGATACTAGTTTTCTCATCTATGAAAGAGTTGTAATTAAACCCACCTCACAGAGTTGTTATAATAGTCAAATGTGAAAGCCTTGGTAAACTCGAAACCACTCTATGCAGGTGTGGAGTTATAATGCTAAGGAGCAATTTGATTTACAATAGCATCAAGAATAAAATATTTAGAAATAAGCTTAACAAAAGAAGTATAAGACTTATACACTGAAAACTACAGAACATTGTTGGAAGAAACTAAAGATCTAAATAAATGGGAAGGCACCCCCATGTTCTTGTGGAGGAGGTAATATCAGTAAGCTTTTAATATTCCACAAATTGATCTACAAATTCAGTGCAATCTCTATCAAAATTTCAGCTGGCTTTTCCACATAAATTGACAGGCTGATTTTAAAATTCATATAAAAATATAGGAGACCTAGAATAGCTAAAACAATCTCAACAAGGAAGAACAGATTTGAAAAAGAACTCATACTTCCTTGTTTGAAACTTAGTATAAAGCTACCATAATCAATACATTATTATACTGTCATAAAGAAAGGCATACAGATCTTTCAAAGTGAATCGATAGTCTGGAAATCAGCCCTTGTTATGTGTATGGTTAATTGATTATCAACAAAGGCCAAGACAATTTGTTGGGGAAAAAATAGTTTTTTTCAAGAAATGATGCTGGGGAAAAAGGATATTCACAACCCAAAGGGAGATGTTGGATCCCTATCTCATAAGCATACAAAAAATTAACTCAAAAATGGATCAAATGATTTTAAATAACTCAATTTAAAAACTGTCAAACATCTGAATAAATATTTTTTTCGAAGAAGATTTACATCTGGCCATTCAGCACATGAAAAAATGCTCAATATCATCAGTCATTCGGGAGACTCAAATAAAAACCACAGTGACATTCCATTTCACACCCACATAGGATGGCTATGATCAAAAAGATTATTAGTATTGGCAAGAATATAGAGAAGTTGAAACCCTTTTATTAGTGGAGGGTAGTCGGAAGAAAGGCAGGCAGGGGAAAGGGGGGGCCCATTCTAAGAGGAAACTACCCTTGGTTCAGGGTGCTCAGGTGGTAGCATGGCTGAGCAATCTAAGGCATTAGATTAAGGCTCCAGTCTCTTCGGGGATGTGGGGTTTAAATGCCACCACTGCCAAAATATTTTAGGGGGTACCTGGGTGGCTCAGTTGGTTAAGCATCTACCTTCAGCTCAGGTCATGATCTCAGGGTTCTGGGATCAGAGCCCCACACTGGGCTCCCTACTCAGTGGGGAGCCTGCTTCTCCCTCTCCTTTTGTCTCCTCCCCCACCCAGACTCTTATCTGTCAATTAAAAAAAAAAAAAAAAAGAGGAAACTATCCTTAAAAGGAAAAAGACCCCATCCTGTTATTCTAAGCTTTACTGAGTGCCCCAGCTTTAAGTCTTCCTACTGGGAGGACTTACCACGTGTATGTGGCAGAAAGGAAGGAAATGGCCTTAGGAGTCCTAAGCCAGGCCCCAGGGCCAGCTCAACAGCCTATGGGATATTTAAGCATAGAGCTTGATCTGGTGGCCTGTGGCTGGCCAGCATAGCTTAGGACACTGTCGGCTGCAGCCCTCTTGATCCCCAAGGCTTCAACCACTCTGGAAGGAGCACTCCACCTTTCCCCACATGAACAACTACCTGATAGATAGACACGTGCGTGAACAAAAACCTGATTGGGTGACAGGTTTTAATCAGATTAAAACAACCTGCCAGAAATCTCATAAAAATGCCTGGATTTAGAGGGCAACCCTCTCAGGTGCCTTCCCTCTTTGGGAGCTTTGTACTATCCATAAACTTTACTTTGCTGCCCACCACTGTTTATCTGGTCTACCTCTTCATTCTTTGAAGTGATATGAACAAGAACCACAGGCACTAGAGGAAAAGAAATCCTGAAATAATATGTTGCTAGTGGGAATGTAAAACAGTGTAGCTACTTTGGAAAAAGTTTGACAGTGCATTAAAATGTTAAGTCACCATATATCCCAGAAATTCCATTCCAAGAGAAATGAAAGCCTGCACCCATGGAAAATGTTCATAGAAGCAATGTTGTTGCTAATAGCCAAAAAGTGGAAACAATACAAATGTGCATCTGATGATTGAATAAATGAAATGTAATGTATCCATACAATGAAATATCATTTGGCAATAAAAAGGAATAATGTACTGATACGTGCTATAACATAGATGAAACTTGAAAACATTAGGCCAAAGTGAAATAAGTCAATCACAAAAGACTGTATATTGAATAATTCCACTTATATGAAATGTAAAGGCAAATTTATAGGGGTAGAAAGTTGGTTAGTGGTTGTCTGGGACTGAGAATGAGGGAGAACGGTGTTGGAGAATAGAGATTGACTGCCATGAGTATGGGTTTTGTTTTGAGGTGGTGAAATATTCTAAAATTTATTGTGGTGATGGTTGTAAACTCTGAACATATTAAAAAGCATTGAATTGTACATTTTACATGGGTGGTTTCTATGATAGGGGAATTATATCTCAACAAAACTGTTAACAATATTCTTAAGATTGCTATCAGTGGAGTATTGGGTTTTTACTCGGCCAAACTAAATAGCCAGTTAATGACTGATCCTATTTACATCATTCCGAAATGTGTGAACCAGCCAAGACTAATAAAATACCATTTCTTTAACTTAAAAGCTAATATAAAATGAAGATCTTTGAGTAATGCCCAAAGTTTCTGATTCTAGATCCAGAGGAATTTTTTTTTTAGTTCTACCTTCCTATTTCCCAAAGTAGTATTAAGAGGAAAGTATTTTAAAAACTGGCTCAGTCAGTTAAGCCTCTGCCTCTCCCTGGGATCGAGCCCCCACATTGGGTTCCCTACTTAGTGTGGAGCCTGCTTCTTCCTCTTTCTCTGCTCCTCTCTCTCCTGCGCACTCTCTCTTCTGCTCGCTCTCAAATAAATAAATAAAATCTTAAAGAAAAAGAAAGAAAACAGTTTTTCTCTTTTAAAGCTGAAATAAGTAGCATTTTTTAAATACGGGAGTTTGTTTTGTTTTTTTTAAATCACTCTGGTAGTTAGGTCCTAGAAAAGAAGGAAACCAGTATAAATTGAAGGACTCATCTGTGCCTTACACTTGTGCTTATTCAGTACATCCACATCTACCATGTGGTTTAACCTTGTAACAACCTTAGGAGGTCGGCCTTATTACCTCTATTTTACAGATGAAGAAACTGAGTCTGGTAGCTTGTGTGTCATCTAGCTTTTGAGTGATGAATCTGGGATTGAAATTCAGCCTTCTGAATTCCAAATCCTAGTGTAATCTGGGATGCTTCGTGGAGCATCACCTTCAGCCTTCTCTGATTCTGTTTCTTGCACCTGTTTGTAGAAGTATTATAAAACTTCAGCATGAAGCAGCTTTTTATATGACAGAGTAGATCCTCAGATCAAATCCCTCAGGTTATGAACTTGTAATTTTAGATGTTATGTACATAATAGGTTTCTCCTATCTTATCTGGGTATAGTTATGAAAAACTAACAATCTTATTTTTTCTTCTTTCCCTCACTTAGCAATGGTGAACTAGACCCCTGGTCAGGAGGTGGAGTAACCAAGGATATCACAGACACCTTGGTTGCAATCACCATCCCAGATGGGGCCCATCATCTAGATCTCCGAGCCAGAAATGCCTTTGATCCCACGACCGTGCTATTAGCCCGCTCCTTGGAAGTTAGACACATGAAGCAGTGGATCAGAAATTTCTATGCCAGTCTGAGAAGGAAGCACTGAACAGTTTTGATCATTTTCACTTCTTTTATGTTAATTCTACCCATATTCCCATTCACTTTGGTTTTCTACATGTAATTACTTTTCCTTGTTTGTCTTTAGATTTGGTGGGGCGAAGGTTGAGATAGAAAAGAGGGTGATGGTAGTGACAGCCGCCTGCCCACATCCTGGGTCCTCGCCATCTTCACACCATCTCCAGGAAGAATCTCTTTGTGACAGCTTTCCTACACCATCAGTGGCCCTCATAACTGGAGCAGAGTTCCTGACTGCCTTTCACAAGAGGGAGAGTCGCTTCCTTTGTTTCTCGGCAAGCTGGGCTTTCTCTTGGTTTTGAGGTTTAAGTCTCTTTGGTCCTTTTGTCACTCCCCAACCCTCCCCCCCGAAAAAAAGAAAAGCAGAAAATAGATAAAAATGATGTAATTGCAGCTGGTAGGAAGGATGTCCGATGCCAATCCAGGAAATGGAAGCCATTTCTTTTGTACTTGATTTAATGACTTTGAACTGTGCTGTAAATAAAGAATAAGGCTGGACCTTATACCTGTGTGTTGCTTCTGAAGCTCACTCCAGCTGTTGGGAATGCTGTGTACACTGGGCTTGGCTGCTTTTGGAAAGTCCTTTAATTTTCTCTCTTCTATTTGGCAGCTTTTTTCCATTCTGGGATATTTGCCACTGTGGTACTGTCAGTAAGAAATCTGGCCTTTTTCTGCTCCATTTCTCTTTGTTCCTAAGGTTAGTTGTGTGGTAATTTGGTTACATTTTGCCAGTTTAGAGAATGACTCTTGTTTTGCTTTTACTTTTACATTCGAGCAAGCTTTTATATACTGCAGTCACTGATGATACTTCAGTGAAAAGTCTTTAAAAATTGGTGGATCAGCTATTTAGAAGATAGAATGTAGTTATATTCAGCTTTTTTTTTTTTTTTTAATTTTATCTCCTGGTGGTCATTACTGCTGTCATTAAAATCAGAAGTGTCAGGGTGCTAAGAGGCAGGTGCACGAGAACTTTTCTGTATGGCTTCCAAAAGACAAGCTGACTAATTCATGCAGGCAGCATATTTGACATTAATAAATGGCCGAGCCGTTCCTATTTCCAAGGGGTTGGCTTCTTTCAAGCAGTTCTTACACTGAAACCTTTCTTCAGAAGAGCTTTTCTAGGATAACAAATAGGGTTGGATCAAAACCTTTCAGGGACACAGAGAGAGACTAACAGTTTCTACTCTGTTGAAAGATTTCTTCCCTCTTGTTTCTTTTTTATTTTCTCAGTAATTTTTTTTTCTTCACCGTGCCTTGGGAACAGTTTTTGCTTTTCAAAAACTATACCTTGAGCTCATTCATTTCTAAAGCACTTATTTTTTTTAAAGTGCAGATGCAGAGTGCATTCTTGGGTGGGAAACTGAAATACTTCCCTTACTTTCCTGGCATCTGGGAGATAGAGAAAAAAATCTTTGTCTGGTTTTGGAAGCCTTCAGTTCTCATTGTAATGAGTTGTCCACCAAAGCCTTTGGTCACTATTTTCATTTCAGTATCAGAGCAAAGTCTGCTGGAGTGAGAATTTAAGGGTCAAAACTACTAGTTTGTATTCTCTGTCAACTAAGAAGTTATATAATGCAGGGTTTAAATGCTTAATAGAGGAGATGCTTTACTATTTATTTTAGGTACCATTGATTTTGTGATATTTTCCTTGAAATCTTGTGCTTATTTAAAATCTTTAAAATATTTTGCCATTTGATTTAATATTTGTCATTTGGATGAATTACATTTTTATGAAGAGACATATTGTCAAAAATTGCTGTATTTTTATGCAAGTATAATTTGGTCTTATGTAATGTTTTCAATGTATGTTTCATTACAGACAGCAGCCTTAAGTTAGCCTAATTATAATAATCTAGAATTTAATTTTAAATTGAAAAAGAACTGGACCATGAAATGAGCCTTATTTAAAGCATTTTTCTCATTAATAGATGATGCCTTTGAAAGACAACGAAAGAAAGACCTAAAGAATTGGGGTTATTTCTCTTTTTGTTACTTTAACTACCTGGAGTTAATAGATAGAAGGAAGGAAATAGGAATCTTTCTTAGGGGATCTGTAGGATCAAGAGATTACCCAGAAGAAACAATGTCTAGTCTAGTATATTAGAAGGTGAGGGCACCGCAGCTGTCATCCAGTCCAAATCCATCATTTGTAGATGATGGCATTGTGTCCCAGAGAGACAGGACTTGTCACACTCATTTCTGGTAGAACCAGGCCTTGAATCCAGGTTTTGTTTTGTTGTTTTTTAAATTGATGTAGTGAAATGTCTATTTGGATAAGCAACAAAACCTCACCAAATCAGCTTATGCAGAAGAGGAAATTTACTGAAACTATGCAGGAATAGCTCGAAGATTTGAATAAAACTAGGAATTGTGAGGGAGGGAGTCCAGAAAGTCATGAAAGGTCAAGACTACTAATTTCTGTTTCATCTCACGTTCAACAGAGGTCATATACCTGTGGGTGAGATTTGTTCCTCAGATTTTTATAATTTGGCCAGCAATGTAAAAACGTGTATGAGTATCATAGTTACATAAAGGGCTTGTTAAAACACTGCTAAGCCTCATCCCAGAGTTTGCAATATGTCGTGGGACTGGACCTGGGAAGTTGCTTTTCTTACAAGTTCCTAGGTGATACTGGGGGATCTTATTTTAAGAACCACCAGTTGAAAGAATTCTGAATTTGAGTATCTCAAGACAGGAAATAGCCCTGTCAATTTACCTCATTCCTGTTATCTTGCCTGGTTCCATCTGAATGTGGGATCTTTGCCTAAAGTGTCTCTTCGCGTGGTTGCTTTATTCTTTCTCTACAGACCAGCTTTTTCTCTGCTGGTACAGGCCCATGATGACTTCCCAACATGGTGTCCTTGGGCCCCTGTGGCTGTACCACCTTACAAGCCTACAACTCTCAGGTGTTGAGGGAGGGATGAGGTTATAAAACCATGAGATACACTGAGATACACTGTTGAAGAGGAAGCAGTTCAGGCATATATATCTCACAGTGTTTTCCAGAACATAAATAGCCGACAAAATGCCAATACTTAAGAAGTAGAAAGATCCATAGTTTAGCTAGTTTGGAAAATGATGGGTTAAGCAAAGTGAAATACTCAATTGTTTTTTGTTTTTAATCTATAAATATGCATTGTGACTCTCCAAAATGACAATGGAGAATGCAGCTTTTCCTGTTCTTACAGAGCACCTACAAGGCATAAGGCGTTCTGGGACTCAGAGAAAACAATGGTGAAAAAGCAAACACATCTGTTCTAATAAGGTTTATGTTCTAATGGTAGAAAGACATGAATATCAAGTTATACAATGAGTTGGTATAAGTGCCCTGGAGAGTAGGGGTTATTAGCAGGAAATCAGAACTAGTCTACAGGAAGAAGAGAATGCTGTTTAGAGATGTGATGTTTTAGTTGTGATCTAAGCATGAATGGAAGCTACATAGGAAGGAGTGGAGGAAGTGGCATGTGTGAAAGCCTGGAGTATAGCATATTACAGGAACTGAAAGAAGGCCACTGTCTTAGGATAGCACACACAGGGAAAGTGCCATAAGATGAATCTGCATATTTGGGCAGGGAGAAAGCTTATTCAAGTAGACCATGATTAGGAGTCACAAGGAATGAGAAATCAGTGATGATCCTAGGAGGGGAGTGACATAAACACATTTTCATTTAAAAAGGTCATGTTGGAATATGCATTGAAGGGGGCAAGCCTGTGATGTAGAGACCACATCATTTTTGCATTTGTCCAGGTTAGAGAAGAGGGTAGCTTTGACTAGGGTGGTAGTGGTGGCAATGAGAAGTAAATTAATTTGGGAGAGATTTAGTAAGGAATATCAATAGGATTTGATGATGTGTTCTCTGAGATCTAAGGATGATTTTTGGGTTATGCATTTGGATAGATGTGGTGTTCTACACTGGCAAAAAGCACCAGAGGGTAGAAGGTGAACAGGTTTGGCAGGAAGACTATGGGTTCAGTTCAGTTTTGTCAGGCTGAGTTTTATGCAATTTGAAATAACCACATAGAGCTAGCTGTCGAGGAGGGCTGTTGGATGTAAAGATCTGGAATCCCGTCTGGGTTAGAAAGCCTTGGTGAATAGATGGTAATCAAAGCATGAGATGTCAGTTCAAGGAACTAGTGTTAGGAAATGTCAGGAGCCACTGCTGTGTTGTACCTACCATGATACATTAATGAAGCCCTACACATCTAATTCTCCTACAGCCTTAGTACATTTGGCTCCACTTAGCCAATCAACATGGTTGCTGTGGTATAACCATGGCTTAGATTGGGATCTACCTCTGCGCTCATTTCCTGTTCTTATTTGCCAGCTGTTAACTTGCCTTATGCCCTGCCAGTCACTCCAAATTTCCTCTGAAATTCCTTTCCTAGCATTACCCTCCAGTATGTTTTCACTGACAAACTAGTATGCAAAAGCTCAGGTCAACTTGATTATTTCTACTATGAAGTCTTTCTCAGTTTTCCTAAAGGAATAAATGATTTCCTTATTTATGTTCTCAAAGCACCAGGTTCATACCTCGTATATCAGTGACAGTGTATACTCCACCAAGGTAAGGATTGCCTGTTTTATTAATCTCTGCATCTCTAGTACCTTAAAGAGTGCCCAACTACCTCTAATCTAGTACACATATCCCAAATTGTGATAATTTGCTAAATGTTCTCACCCTCTTTTTTAAGAAGACCCAAGTTCTTTGAGAGCAGGAACTATGTCTTACTCTTTCTAGTAATCGGTATCTAGGATGGGGTCTGGCCGCCAGATCTCAGTAGGTCCTCTGTAAATTTACATGAGTAGATACTTCTCAGGGTGGAAAGGCCAAGCTTTCCATTGGTCTCTGTAGCCAAGCACCTTTCACAGCTCTGATGTGTCCATGTGACCTCCTGTCCCAGGCTTTCCTAGATTTTGGAAAGAGGTTGTCTTAGTACTCAATACCTCTAGAACTCAGACTTCCTGATTTGCCCACTCTTCAACTGAGTATGTTCCTGGCTCCTCTCCCACTATGTCAGCCTGGCTCTCTTTGTCAAGGGGCAACTCTGTCTTGAGGTTTGGTAGGAACCTGACCATTAGAAACAGAGACATGCTATTGGATAGATATCTCTGAAGCTGTTTTTCAGTGCAAAGAGTCAAAGAAGGGTCTGATTCCAATAGATTTTGATTAACTACTAAGGGAGATGGGAGGATAGATGCTTCCAGTAGCAGAGTGTGAACTCAGTCTTGGATCGTTCAGTTCTACGTGTGTGTTTAACTTGGCTGACATCTTTAATAAGCTCAGGCCTGAGTACAGAAGTTACCCGCCCAAGGTCATAGAGCTAACATGTTTATTTAACAGTAATTGTAAAATTTTTGCTACATCTGGTTCTAAAGGTGTTCTAAAGATATACATTAAACAGCAAGAGTGGGGTAGAAGAGATTTAAAAGGGATAGAGATGTAAAATGGATCTAGGAATGTACGTCAGAAAGCAGCATTTATCAAACAGGTTTCACAGAATG